TGCAGATAAACTAGTTCATGAAGTCTTCTGTCGTTTTGGAGTACCTTTAGAGATTCACAGCGATCAAGGAAGGAATTTTGAGTCTCAAATATTCCAGGAAACTTGCCGAGTTATGGGTACTCATAAAACACGAACAACTTCTTACCACCCACAATCTGATGAAATGGTAGAACGATTTAATCAGACATTGGAGAGGTACCTAGCAAAAGTTGTGGAGCAACGGCAACGAGACTGGGACAGGCACATACAACCGTTTTTGTTGTCATATCGAAGCGCTGTTCACGAAAGTACATCAGTGACACCAGCTTTCGTAAACTTTGGGAGAGAATTGCGGCTGCCTGCAGACCTAATCACCGGAATACCACCTGATGCCCCACGCAGTATAACCGATTATGCAAATGACTTGCGGAACAAAATGAATGGCATTTATGAGCACGTCAGACAGACGGGCCAGCAAACGTCTGAGAAGATGAAAACACGGTATGACCGCAAAATGAACAACAAGGGGTTTGATGAAGGTTCACTAGTGTGGTTACACAATCCAGTTCGCAGCAAAGGGAAATCTCCTAAGCTTCAAGCTAAATGGGACGGACCGTACCGGATTGTGACAAGGATCAATGACGTAACCTACCGGATACAGAAAGGTGTCAGAGGTACTCCTAAGATTGTCCATGTGGATCGACTGGCGCGTTATTATGGGGCCAATAATGCTCGGGACGAGCATGTCTTAGGAGGGGGCAGTGTTACGCGCCACTATTAATGTCTTGTACATGGCAACACTAGTAACACTAGCGCCCTCTAGTGTCGAGTAAAAGAAAGTGTTGCGCGCCACTATTAATGTCTTGTACATGGCAACACTAGTTACACTAGCGCCCTCTAGTGTCGAGTAGTAGAACTAGGAGAGTCGAGATCCTTCCAGAAATTTCGGGACCGATATGTACTCGAATATTCTAGATGTCGCTACAGTGGAAGGTTCTGAAAACTGTCTGAGGCCCTATATAAAGCCGGTATGGACCACGACCAAAAGGTATTGAATTGGCGATACAAGAGAATACTTCGAAGCGAAATAACGGCGAACTGTGTTTTATTATTAGTGTGATTTTAGATTGTAATTAGTGTTGTGTAATTAAAGTGGCAATTTTGGTAATTCAATCGGCAGTTTTTAATTGTCTCGAACCCCAAGCACGTAACAATATGTTGATGCGTCACATTGCGTAGTTGCGCCTTATCTTGAGATTCATATCATCATCAGAGCACTTGTTTCACCGTTTCCACTAAAAGCTCACATGCGGTGACATTTAACACAAAATCACACCACGTTTTTCATATCAAAACCCACTTCAAACTTTTTAAACAATAATACAGCCAAGTTCCCGCCTAAACCCCGACTACAATAACTTTATACTTGTCAGAGAATCACAACTACAGAAGATAAAAGCAGGTTATTTTGTTTTAACATTGACACTATGATATTATCTACCATACCGAGAATGTAATCACTAGATCTCTATCCCTATCTCTACCTTAGAGTTTTTTTTTTTATACAACGTGGCCGCTAGAATGGTGACTTTAATGTAACACACGGCTAGGGCTAGTGCTCGTTAATCATATTTATTTAGATTGGATAAAATAACTCGTAAATTGAAAAATAAATTTTCAAACAAAATTTTTAATAAAAAAAAATTGGGATCATCCTTGCAAAATTTTTTTTTATAGAAGAGGGGGCAAACGAGCATGCGGCTCACCTGATGGTAAGTGACTACCGCCACCCATGAACAACCGCAACACCAGGGGAATTGCAGATGCGTTGCCGGCCTTTTAGAAAGGTGTAAGCTCTTTTCTTGAAGGTTCCTAAGTCGTATCGGTCCGGAAATTTCGCTGGTGGTAATTGATTCCACAAGGAAGTTGTGCGAGGGAGAAAACTTCTTCTAAATCGCACAGTGGTGGACCGCCAATCATCTAGATCGTGTGGATGGTAACGCGAGTTTTGTCTCGATGTGCGATGGTGAAATTGAGCGGCTGGAATTAGTCCGAACAATTCCTCAGAGCACTCCCCGTGATAGATGCGATAAAATACGCAAAGAGATGCAACATCTCTACGCAGTGCCAGTGTATCGAGCCGATCAGAAAGAACTCGGTCGTCGACGATTCGAACCGCTCTGCGCTGGATGCGGTCAAGTGGAAGGAGCTGGCACTGGTTGCCCCGGCCCAGAGATGAGAACAGTATTCCATGTGGGGCCGAACTTGCGCTTTGTAAAGTTGCAAGCGATGTGCCGGCATGAAATACTATCTCGCTCTGCTGAGCACGCCAAGCTTTTTAGAGGCCAATTTGGCCTTCCCTTCCAAGTGACCACGAAACTGCACACTATTCGATATGTCGACGCCAAGGATTCCGATACTAGCTGAGGCAGCAAGGGGAGTGCCTTGAAACTAAGAATATACGACAAAGGGGTTCTTTTTAGCGGTAAACGCGCAAACTTGTGTCTTCTGGGGATTGAACTGGACTAGATTTAGTCGGCCTAATTCAAAAATTCATTCATGCAATTACTTACCTAGCTGGCTTACGTTAACTCGGAGCGGCAACGCGTCGCATCACGCGCTGGCAACTACGCAACACGTCTTGTACCTACTCGTGATCCGATGGTCCGATTCTTTGACGGCTTATTATCAAAGAAACTGAGTGGCGCCGGAGAGTACCTACAGCGGAGGTGCTTAGTAAAACATTTATCATATCACCCTGACTTGTTACTATTACTTATAACTGTCATCACTAATCACTGGTTTTATTTGTCTTTATTTTAAATTTTCCTATCTTTAATGAGTCCACCGTGTTGTCGGATACAAAGACCTAAACGGCATTTCAAGTTTTCCCGCACATTTGAAAATAAATTGTCATTTCCCTCGATTTCTCAAACGCATTTATTATTCGATGGCGTTTTCGTTAGATGGCGCGCCATCTAATTGGTACCACATTCGTTGGTATCGATGGACGTTTAGGTTTTTGTGTAATCTGACACCGCATCATTTAGTAGATTAACAAACCATTCTCAGTTCAAAGCCCCATCAATGAATACGGGTCCGATGATGCTGACACCGTGAATAGCTGGCCAAACATTTACCGAAAATCTGTACTCATGGGCTGACTCCCACCAAACGCGCGGATTTTGCTTTTTAGGTGGCCAATCGTGCAAATTGTGCTGGTTCCACATTCCGTTTCTGGTGAACGTGCTTTCGTCAGTCCAACAAATTTGGGAAAGAAAGTCACTATCCTCTTCAATTTTACTCAGTAACCACTGACAATAATTCACTCTTATTAATTTATCAAACGATAGCAAAATATGTACTTTTCCAAACTTGGATGGGTGCCACTATTCACGCTTTAATATCCTATGAACGGTTCTGTAATGGACTTCAAAATACCTTGCGCTCTGGCGGAGTCTAATTTTGGGTTGGTCTTCGAAATATTGTATCACATTTTCAGTTAACTGGATTGGGTTTTGTTGTGTAGGTGGTGGATCAGGGCGTTGAGACCTAGGATTAGGTCTATAGGACTGGCCGGTTTTCGCGGATGCGCTGAAGAGCTCCTACAACAGTGCGAGGATGAGTAGGGCATTGTCTTGAATTGCCATATCTCTCGCGATATGTTCTTATCTTAAGGGCGGCATTTTGACGACATTCTCCGTAAATTAGGATCATGTCCGCATATTCAGCTGCTGTGTTGTTCGGATGTGTATTTGCCATTACGATCACAAGTTTACACAAGCACTAATAATCCAAATAAAAGAGTCCGTATCGCAAGAGATGTAATAAGAATGTAGACAGAGGATATAGTATATGCAGCTATATTATGATTGCAGCACGAATGGGTCGGCTCGACCGGGGAAGGACCACGCTCTCACAGAAAACCAGCGTAAAATAGCAGCTTAACGCTGCTGTGTTTCGTATGGTGAGTGTAGAGAACCGGAGACCCTTTTTACTGGCAAAAAGGCATTCCATCTTAGTCCTCACGGGTGACAACGCATCTGCTTTTTGATATGTAGATGTCTATGGGTCACAGTAACCACTTACCATCAGGTGGACTGTGTGCTCGTTTGTCATGTCGATGGTTAATATAGTGCATAGTGCCATATTATAGCGCGCTATTTTTCCATAGCGCACAGCGCGTGCTATGTAAGTAAACGCTATGGCGCTCGGTATGGTAGCTATCGGGCGATCGGTCGCGGCGTCGTCAAGCGCGGTAGCTAGCTCTAGCAGATAATCACCCTTCCTGGCGTTCACGTTGTTGTGATCGGACGTGTTACGTAAAGCAGCACGTTATTAATAGCGCGCGACCTAGTTTTGTGTTAGACGTTGGTTAGTTAGTGTGTTTTTGAAATAAATAATAGGTTAGAAGACTGTATGAAAACAAACTACGTACCTATGATGAGACGCAATTATTTTCTATGATACGCCTATAATTGATTTATAATATACATTATAATATATTTATTTTATTTGAGACTAAAATGCGACGTATTAATAGATCATATTATTATATTTTAGTGATTTTTCTGGCGTATTACATGATGTAACATGCTACGAGATTTCGCGTGCTGCAACCTTCAAGACTATACACACCTGCCGGCAACCCACACGTTTTCTTATAAATAACGCGCTATAGCATAGCGTATTTAATAGCGTGCTAAAAATTTATAGTTTATATTATAGTCTGTAGCATGCTATACATTGATAGTCGTTTTGAACAACTCTAGCTGGATTGACGCATGCGTGTTTATTGGTTTACTAATATTGCTACAGATTTATTAATCTGTTAACGTGATTGTTGATGAACGGACGATTCAGTTAGAATCTACTAGTTAGTCTGTGAAGTGTGAACGGCGTAGATAGAGGATATGTCTATGGTGAACGGACGTTGATGTTTGATACACGTACGGGTGCGCACGGTTTGAATTGTAGTTTCTTTGTATTGTCGTGGTGTATTTTTTATTTTTCTAATAATCATGAAGAAAGGCTATAAAGTTACAGATGTTAAAAGAGAAAAGAAAATAGGTATAGCTGCAGAAAACCTGGAAGAGTTAATAGAGAAATCACTCAAAAAGTTAGGTGTAAGTAAATATTTATGTCCGATTATTATGTTCTTATCTAATTTCAGGTTACATTATACAAGTTTTTCTCATATCTTCTCCAAAATAGCGCGGTTTTTGATATTTCTGATAAAAATAGGTCAAGGACAGATTCCCTTGACCTAATTACAAAACCTTGACCTAATTCAATTTGACGGTTTTCAGTTCAATGCCAGCTGCGCAGATTGTAGGCTTTTTGTGGCTGAAGACGGGACACAGGTGGATGATGATGACTATCTAGCTACTTTACCTCCTCAGACCTTATTCATTTTGTTAACTGACAAACAAAAAATGGTAACTGGTATGTTTTTTTTATATTAACAGGATATATTAAACATAAAATTCGCCAAAGACAGTTTAAGTGGTTTTCTCTTAGTACATCTGAACCCAAAGTAATTATAATTATATAATTAATAACTCTTTAAAAATTCTATATGAATAAACATATTTGATTTAATAAAATACTTTTATAGGCTGAATGTAATGCTTAACTTAGCATAAGGTAAAGCCATGCTGCAGCTATATTAATTGTATAGTTGTAGCATGAATGGGTCGGCTCGACCTGGAAAGGATCACACTCTCACAGAATACCAGCTTAAAGCTGCTGTGTTTCGTATGGTGAGTGTAGAGAACCAGAGACCTTTTTTACAGGACAGGAGGCATTCTGAGTCCTCACGGCTGACAATGGATCTGCATTTTCAATTGGCATCTATTATAGATAGATGTCTACAGTAATCACTTACCATCAGGTGGTCTTATCCCATAAAAAAAAGACTAGGAATATTAATATTTATACTGACAAAAAGTTTACAACATTTCTTGCATTCATTTCTTATAAATTTTTTTTGCACAAAATTATATTATTTAATAGCCTTAAAGTAGTAGTAAAAGTAAAAAACAATTGTAATTTCTTAATAATCTTTTAGATTTCGACTTCTACTATAATTTAATTAGATCATCAAAAAAAGATTACATTAATGCTGGTGTTGCTGCAAATGAATTCCTAAATACCAATATAAAGGATAAGTTCAAAGTGTTCCAAAAGTATATAGCAGCTGCTGATGATGCTAAAACTATGCTTAGTGAGAGGACACAGGATCCAGCGTGGTTTGAAGGTGAGACTAGGGAGTAAGAATGAGCTTTCTGCATGAATTTACCAGATGTAGAAATATAGAACTGATTAATCTAGTACCTACAATGTAAACATTATCTCAATCCGACTAAAAATGATGAAGTTACTGCGATTTTATTGCAGCAGATCCTACAAACTCATTTGAAATAGCGCATGCTACTATTTTGACATCATTATTCACTTTTTTTTGGGTTTGTATTAAAAAATAGTTCAATTTTTATTTATTTTTAATAATCTAAAAATTTCATACAAAATTCATTTAGTAAGTAGGTATTCATTTAGTAAAAAATAAGTATCATACTGATAATAATGTAAAATGAAAGCTACACTTATGTACCTACTTAATAATATATTCTTACCTGTTTGTTTTGTCTCCATGTACAGTGGACCCCCGGTAATCCGAAAAACAATTTGCAGGGCAGTGTCAGACTATAGAATTTGTTGGATTATAGAGTACTGCCTAAGACCCCTATAGTCCGGAATTTTTTATAAAAGAATACCTTGTAATCCTACAAATTCTAGATCCAATGATAAGATTCTATATGTTATATATATGTATTCTGAAGTACAAATTATACTTCAGGGAGCTTATTTTTTTATTATAAAATTAATGTCAATAATGCTATAGAGCTTACAAAAAATATGCAATAACTTTACATTAGGAAATAATTGTTTACAAACAAATGTACATTCTAAAATAATCAAAAATTATGAATCAATCAATTTAAGAAGCATGAAAATATTCATCAATTGCACGTCGAGCACAATAGTGGTGGTGCGTACAAGTTATAACTTGTTCAATCATGCATTTGGGAAGATTGTCAAAAAAATATCTAATAATAAATAATAGACCATGTCGGATTACAGGGGGTGCTGGTTTTAGACAGGGGCAGGATTACCGGGGGCCACTGTATTTCTGCACTCGAATAATTAGCATCATTTCTGTAAAATTAGTCCACCATAAAACCATCACCCTTTGGAAGATTGTCAGATTGAGCTTTGACAAATCTGGATTCCATATTATTTTAAAATTACCTTAATAATATAAATAACCTTACAAAATACATTTAATTTCAAAATAGGTAGGTAGTTTACAACCGCAAACAGTGAATTTTATTGCAATTGAATGCGGTAAGAATGAGTGTTCAGTTCAATGCGAGCAGAGAGTGAATGATGATGTTATTGCTCGTGGCGGGCGCCGAGTTTTAAATGAAGCGTTTAGAAAACTTGTAATAATTTCATAATCTCTGGACCGATTTGTGTTATTTAAAAACTATGATCATCTACAAAGCATAATACACGTAACTAAATAGGTTAAAGTCCAGAATTCTATTATGTGCAGAAAACTCATTACTGCTTACTTTTTTATGATATTTAGTTTAGATTTGAATTTTTATATGTATAGGAGTAAGCGAAATGTGTTTTTCAATCACTAAACATGTGGGGTTTAAACAAAGTTATTGGTGCTTAATTTTTTTTAAACATACATATATTCAGTATTACTAAGGTAACACTCCCTAATATTGGAACCTATATCCAGCTTAGTACTTTTACATGCCGATAAGAAAACGAAATAAATTTGAATTGATAAAGAAACATATTATATTAACTTAACTTTCAAATATGTACAAGATAGAATATATGGTAGCAATGGATATAAACCGAATTTCTAAGCAATAACATGACAAAAATGTAAACTAGGTAATAAAAATAATTATTATTTTCAAAACCTAAATAATTTTCATATTTTTAATATAATGAATGTCCACAATAATGTGTAATAATAATAATTAATGGCGATTTTGTCAGCCACTTCCATAGTAAGGCAGTGGCAGAGGCACAAGTAACTGACTACGCCTACCTAAGAATGTTTGATGAGTCACATGTTTTTATGTTCACAGCTTGGCGATGTGGACTCATTGAGCATTCTTTTAGCCGTTTTGTTCTCTCTTGCCAGGTCATTGCGGCTCGTAAGATTCCTTGCAGGAATCTTGTACCCGCAGTCGTGCTTTCTGTTTTCGCTGCTTCTGCACGACTGCTAGGATCTGTACCTACTATCCGCCACGACCTTAGCCTGACCTACGGCTTTGGTCTTCTGTAGAAAAGAAGCCATTACAGCCCTAATTTTCCGGGCCTTCTCGCGCTGCTTTATGTTCTTCTTACTGTCCTCGCCTGGACCGTCGAATCAGCTATTCTCCTTTTTAGGTTCCTTTCCTTTTACGGCTCAACATTTCCAGGCAGCAGTGAAGAAGTCATCAGAGATTTTGGGTTCCGCAGGAGTTTTATAGTTTATGGTTCGCTACATAATTCCAGTTGCCAGCTTGCTAGTACCCGGGGTATGTCTCAGGTTTGCTAATGGCTGGGCCGCTGGTTTCCTGGTGTTTAGATATAACTTTTTTGTTTTATTGGAGCGGCCAATGCTCCATGTGATAGTTTGGAGCTATTTAATATATACCCCAGAGGTTCGGAAATTTGATAGCCCGACCTAGACTTCAGTTCGTTTCGTTTGTGGCGCGACTACAGCGCCGCCACAAGACAGTAGACATTAAATACTAATCTTATTTATCAATGTCAGTATTTCACCTGACTTACAAATATTACGTTTTGGCTCTTTTTTTTTCAGACTAAAATTAATTTAGTTTGAATGATAAAACGACGAAATTTGTATAATGATTTCTTATATTTACGCGAACACTACACATTTTTAAATAAAACTAATTATAAAAAATAAAATCCGTAAAATTAGTTTTATTTAGAAATTTGTATAGTTCATTGACAATATTTTTGTATATAACCTATAACCTGTTAGCTATCGTAAACTTTCTCATTACAGGTTTAGAGCTATCTGAAAAGACAAAGGAGCAATCAATGTGCAAGAGAGTCAAAGAGAGAATGAGAGGATATTACTATAAAACTAAAACTGCACTACAAACTTCAGACCTGTATGTTCAGTCCAAAAACGGACATGGTAAGAAATTGATAGACCAGTTCCTATTAGACCTTCGAAAGATTCTCGAATCCAAGAAGTATAATGAGAGTTACTTTAATAGGAAAGCAAATAAAGACCAGCGTTTGTGTGCTGATAATGGTCTGTTTGAATGTGGCGGCCTGTGGAACAATACTAAATGTAACTATAATGGAGAACATTTTATAAATCCATACAGGAGTCGTGAAGAAAGAATTATATTTCAGACCTGGAACTTAGACCATAAAATTGAGTTATCTCGTTCAATTATACCCAGCATAGTAGAAGCTATTAAAGGGTTATACAATGGGAGTTTTAAATGTGTTTCATGCGAAAAAGATCATAAAGATGGAGGTGTTGAAACGGATAGATATTATTTACAAATATTTACGCGCGAAAATTTAAAATTAGTTCACATTGTATGCCATTACAAAGGGAAACATAATGCACAGTCGGGTATATATACTGTGTGCAAGTCGTGCTTTGGGCAACAAATTATAGACTATAAATAAGAAATGATATAATAACGAGTTTGGTTTTTATTACAATATTTGTTATATTCTTCATATACAGATACATGTATATGTATTTTCTTCTATTTCTCTAATACTCTTTTAAAATCTGTGATAAAAAGTGTAAGTATATAAGTTTAATATTTTTGACTTAATTATTGTTGTGTAGTGGGAGTATCAAGGAAATATGATTTAAAATATTTATTAATATAATATCAATGTATGAGCTTAGTATGAAATCATGGGAACTTTAACGTCAAAGAGTACCTATATATTGTGTGTTATAGTAATTTAATTCCAATTATATTTATCTTTGGTTTTAATTATGATGTTATAGTTATAGTTAAAGTATTCCATGTTATAAAAATAAAATTTACTAATTTTTTATAAATAATGAAGTACATAGTAATATTACAACATTACATAAATATATACTATGTTGATCTTTTTGACACAAGGCTGCAATCGTTATTATTTAATTTTCAATGATCTGGAGAAAAATGCATACAAATATGTTTAATTCACAAATATGTGCCAGATAACTATTTTTTCTATATTAGTACTTTATGTAACTGATATATATAATTTTATAAATAAGATATTATGTATTAAAATAACATTTAAATATAACAGGTAGCCTTTTAAAGTAGTGATTTAATAACTTTAAATTAGAATAGAAAAATTTATATTCCTTAATTACATTTCCAAAACCTGTCGTAATTAAGTCCCTCTGCTATATTGTCTTTCGATAAGATTTTGAACAACATTTTGGTAAATCAACATTGATGACACCCTGGGAATGAGGCCATTGTGCGTTGCTACATCATGGTGGTTTCTACTTTCTAACCCCTTCTCGTGTCTCTTGTCAATTCAATCACTCAATTCAGACTTACCGGAATCATTTTTTTTACTGTTAAGCACATGCAATGTATAAGCACCACATGTATCACTCTCTTTTTGTTCGCGTTCAATTAAATATTAAGGCGAGCACTTATTGTTTGACCTACCCTGTCTGTATGGCCTCACTCTTACACAACACTAACGCAAAATATTTTTTATAAAATGTGGGTCACAAACAAGTACCCAGTTCACCATCACCACCATCTGTTCTACACTAAGAATTAAAATGTAGATGCGGTGTCACCCGTAAGGGCGAAGATGAATGAAGAAGGATGCTTTCTTTCCAGTAAAAAGGATCCTAAAAAGGATTAACCTACAATTTTACGCTTTTTTTATTTTTTATTTATTCTTATCAAATGACAGTATGGTGGACTAGAATAAGAAAAATGTGGGTTTTAAAATGTATATTTACTTGTTAGCGTTAAGTGAACTATTAAAAGAAATTTATTTTTATACTATGTTGAGAGAATTAATGTTCCAGTATCCTAAAATAATAAAGGGTTGTGTAATATTAGTTTGTATTTATTAGTTTAAATTTAAAAACTTGAGCAGATAATGGGAAAAGGATAAATGAAAATTAAGTATAAAATTTCTTAATCTCTTTTCAAAAACAGGGTCATAGATAGCCATATACAATTATATAAATTTTCATTTTGTATTATGTTTTTCTATAGTATCATGACTAATCAGAATCTATTTATTTTTCAAATTATTTTTTAAATTATTAATTTATTAAATATGTATGTGGTTGTAACCTTTTACGAACTACTTAAAAACTCCACGGACTTTTTGTAAAAATCTTTTAATACAAATATTTCAAAACTTTGTTTAAAATGTATAAGTTCTAGGTTAAATAGCTTTACTTACGCCAGAACAAAATATAACCATTGTCATAAAATTGAAATATTTTATATTTAGGTAATTCTTGTAATCCGTAATTTTATTTTTCTATATAATTTATCTTTATGTATGTAGATTTCTATTTTGACAATATAGCTAATGTGAATCAAAATAATAATATTTAATAATCGAAAATAAATATTATATAATACTTGCAATGAGTTGTGGGTTATAGAACTTAATTGTTGATTGCAAGTATACACTACACAATACAACTATTCTAATTTTTACTGAGCAATATGAAAATATAATCCTGGCAATGAACTGATCATTTTGCATTAAAGAAAAAGGAGGAACAATATGAGCCTCATTATTTTTCTATAAATTCTATTTTTCTATCTTTGTTGTAACTATGATCCTAGTATGGCCATAAGTTTTGGTACAAAATAATTACCTTAGCCGCGAATTTATGGATTTACGGGCTATCTCCATGAAGAAATAAGCCACTGCTAGCTCTAAAGATTTCTTGAAGGACTCAATGTCGGAATGACGTTCAGAGCAGAAAATAGTTTAAAGGTTTCATATCTGGACTGGACAATTTTTGAAAAATGTGAATGCTAGAGGTATCACTGGAGGCCAAGAAGTGGACCTAATCCAGCCTCTACGTAGACTTGCGCAACTACAATATAACTCGTGTTGAAGAAGTGATTGAGCGGAACCAAGGCTCCCAGCCTTAACCCGAGATCTGCCTGTCACAAAGAGCGAACTGTCGTAGTTTAAGATCGACAGTGGTAGCATCATATCTGGGCCACCTGAAATTTTGAGCGAGATTGTATTTTATGATTCTACGAACAGCTGTGACGTTGTTGTCGGTGCCGCACGCAAGTTTGTGTAACAACCAATGAGCAAGTCTCATCCGACTAATTCTGCTGATATCCCGAACATCAGCTCGAACGCATTAGAGAAGATTAGAGAATAACTATTCAGCACCTTAAAAACGTTAAGGCCTCAAATGAGGATGGAATTACGGCTAAGAGTTTGGAAGAGGGTGGAAAACCGGTCTTAAATCTTTCAGAAACTATTCAATTCCGTCCTTCATGATAACAGTACTCCGAAGTCGTGGAGCGGAAGTACGGCAGTCTTGTTCTAAGAAGGTTTTATCGAGGAACAAGCAAACGATTTTTCCGACTTCCAGCCTCTCGAACAAGTCTGTTTCCGAAAAGGCTTTAGTACCATGGACCACATACAAACCCTTCGGCCAATTGTACAGAAGATCTAAGAGTACCATCTGCATCTTTATCTTGCGTATGTAGACTTAGACTATAAGAAAGCCTGTGATTCCGTTTAACTTAGGGAGGCGCTATAGTCCCTTCAGCGGTGCCAGGTTGTTTTTACAGTAGGGCCACGATGCCTATCTTAGTACAAAACCAGAGTACGAAACTTATCCAACTGTAGAGAGGTGTAAGATGTAAGGAAGACAGTTTTCAAGCTACTGGACTGAAAAGGATGGATTATCATCTGTGGTGAGCATCACTTACCTTCAATTTGCTGACGATTTAGTCATTATGACAGCATCGCTAGAGGACTTTAACACTATATGGAGTGACGACTTGGTTAGATATCATAAAGAACAATCCCTTGATAAATTTTGGCCGTCTTTATTGCTTTTTCACAAAAAAGAAATTTAGTAACGCCTTGGTAAGACGATAGCCTTCACCAAACCCTCATTTATGTGGGATGATGACCACGTTGAACTTTTTCAACGAGATACGAGGCTTCATTATAGCTGTGAGCATATACTCAATGTTTGTTGTAGTAAAAAAAATCATCTGTACAGAACACATTTGTGTCTTCTACCAGCTAATAAGGACAGCAAGCGTTTCAATCAGTTAACTCTCAAAACCAGCAGGGACTGAGAGGATATCCTTTATATCGACACTTCAGGTCTTGAGAAATGGCAGGCAATTAATCGAAGTTTCTTAAATACTATTTAAATTGTAACATTATTTATGGCCAGACTAGTTATAGGTATTATACTTACAAATATAATAAACTATTAGCAGAGATATAATGCGACAAAGTTATATAGTAATAGTTAAATGTTAGTGATTATGAATAATTAACAATATTATTGTGTAGGGTTAAGGATATTGTGATATCATACATAATAATCAGGTAAGAAATCAGTGCTGGTGGCTTGTCATTTATTATAAAACAGAACAGGTTATAAAAAAAACTTTATTTTTTTATTTGATTAAATATAAACTACAACATATTAGCCAACTAAACAGTATAATTTTCTCACATTCATTATCAAAGGCATATACTATTGTACAATATGTAAAAAAACCTGTCCTATTTGTGATGGTTCATTTATGGTGCTTGTTTGCTAAGATATCTTGATATGATTCTGTTCAAGTAATACTTTTCAGAGTTGATATAAAAGATACCTTGCAAAAAATTAAATAAAACTAAATCTTGATTACAAACATCCAGCGTCGATTAACATTATTCCTCCACACGTTCAAAGTTAAGATTTAAAATAAAATAAACTGAATTTTTACAGGTATTGTTAACCGATTCGTTGCGGCACCGATTTTTGACAACTTTTAGCTGTGGCGGCGAACAAATATGCCGCCACAGAAGTTGATGACACGCCTATTGTGCCATCAGCCATGTGTAAAAATAATTTTCTTTTTTATGCTTTTTTTCAGTTGTTTAGACCTAATTAAGTTTAGTTGACATCAAACATCAGTTACAAACGGAAGAATGTTTGTTTTTTGTAACTACGTGTTTTCTTTAAAATTGGGAGTAAGTGACTTTTTATATGCAGAAATTACAAACTGTACTATTTTTTGTTTTATAAAAAAAAATCATTTATATAAGTAGGTACAGCTAAATCACCCTGGAAAACCTTGGTTTTTATTAAATTAAATTTTCACCTAATAATAACATTTGTAAATGTCAAACAATCAAGAACCTTAATTTGGAAAAAATTAAGGTTTATGATTCATTGATATTTTTAAAAATGTTAAATATTATATAAATGTAAAAAGTAAAGTCGATCTGAAAACGTCTACTTAGTAAGAATAGCAATAGTATAATAATAATAGCAGAATAAGTGTTTTCAAAAGAAAACAAACGCCAGCGCTATACGGCGGCGGATTGACAAAAGACTATTTATTAGCGAACTTTTTTATGCATGAACGGTTTCGAACAGTTTCAAACAAAAATAAACCTTATACCATATCACAAGAGCA